ATCCGCCTAGGCGCTCCTCAGTCCAACACATTCAGAAGTGTGCATTCACATCTGCCTAGGCGCTCCTCAGCCCAACACATTCAGAAGTGTGCATTTACATCTGCCTAGGCACTCCTCAGCCCAGCACCTTCAGAAGTGTGCATTCACATCTGCCTAGGCGCTCCTCAGCCCAACACCTTCATAAGTGTGCCTCACATCTGCCTAGGCGCTCCTCAGCCCAGCACCTTCATAAGTGTGCATTCACATCTGCCTAGGCGCTCCTCAGCCCAACACCTTCAGAAGTGTGCATTCACATCTGCCTAGGCGCTCCTCAGCCCAACACATTCAGAAGTGTGCATTCACATCTGCCTAGGCGCTCCTCAGCCCAACACCTTCAGAAGTGTGCATTCACATCTGCCTAGGCACTCCTCACCCAACACCTTCATAAGTGTGCCTCACATCTGCCTAGGCGCTCCTCAGCCCAACACCTTCAGAAGTGTGCATTTACAGCTGCCTAGGCACTCCTCAGCCCAACAATGCTGACGATCAAGACTTCCCATTACTCCAGCACTGCAGTCTCAGGGGCAAGTGGCCCCCCGCAGCTTTTTCTAGGGGGCTGGGGACCCACATTCAGGCCCTCACGCTTGTACAAGAAGCACTCTTACCCTTGGAGCTATCTTGCTAGCCCCAGAATTTGCTTGCTTACCAAAAACCTTGCTAAGATATTAACAGGAAGTTCATTTAAACTCAGAGATCACTTGGGAGAATACAGATACCTTTAATACGCCGAAACTACCAATGGATGAACATAGTTACGTCTCCATTTTTTTTCCCAAGCCTTATTTGATTTTTCATGAGCATTTTGTATTTTTCAGCACACAGATCGTGTACATTGCTAATATTTCATTTTTTTTTTCGGAGCAATTGTAAAAGATACTGTATTTTTAATTCCAGTTTCTGCATACTCACTATTAATAAACAGGAATGTAATTGAGTTTTCTGTGCCTTGTACTTGACAACCTCGCTGAATCTATTTACTAGACTTAAGAACTTTCCAGAGCACTCCGTAAAATTTTCCCTGTAGATAAGGATGTCATAAACATAAGCCAACATTAAAAATTTTTCTAGAAATTTTATAGCATGATCATAAATGGAACACCAGTATCAGCTATCACAAAAGGATACAATTCTAAAAGTTAAAACAATTTTAATAATTTTAATTCTGGCTAAAGCAGTGTTATTTTCAGAAGGCTGGTGTTCTCTCTCTCTCTCTGTCCCCTCCCTTCTCCTCCCGCTCTCCTTCTTCAAAGGGAAAAGTCAAATACACAAACAGGCACACAGGCCAGTTCTGACGGTACGGGCCTACAGGCTCAGCTACGCAGGAGGGTGAGGCAGGGGAGTAACAGTGAGAGGCCGGCCTGAACTAGAGTGGAGGCAAAGCTGGCATGCTCACCTTCGTGGGGCCCGTGGTTTGTTTAGCTATTCGGTGGTAGGGCACTAGCCTGGCATGCGCACGCACGCTCTAAATTCAATTTCTACTTCCACTGAAAACAAAATAAAAATAACAGGTGTTTTCAAAAACTTGATGGGAGGACTGGAGATGGCTGGGTGGGGAAGCGCTCGCCATGCACATGTGGAGAATTAAATATGGATGCCTAGCCTACATAGAAACGTCATGGCATGGAGCCCACCCATGGAGATGAATCTCCAGGGCAAGCTGTCCAGCTATAGTGGCTGAGCTGGTGCGCTGGATTCGGCAGACACCCTGCTTCAAGGTAAAGGGTCAAAGAAGACACCTGACATCAACTTCTGACCTCCATATGCAGTTGCACACATGTAAGCACGCATACACATGTATATGCACACCACAGACACAAATGAGGCGGCCTGAGGCTTTCATGGAACATTCTCTAGGCTACAGCATGGCTAAGCCATAAAACAAACCTCAAGAAACTCATCCAGAGCTGGTGGGGGCAGCTCAGTGAGTAAAGATGCTCTCTGCCAAGCCCGATGTCCCGAGTTCAATCCCCAGGACTCATGTGATAGAAGAACCAACCCTCATAAGTTGTCTCTGACCTCTACAAGCATGCCATGGCATGCACACACATAAATAAGTAGAGAGATGATAGATGATAGATAGATAGACGGATGGATGGATGGATGGATGGATGGATGAATGGATGGATGGACGGATGCATGGATGGACGGATGGACAGATAGATAGATGGGTGGGTGGGTGAGTGGATGGATGGATAAACAGACAGACAGACTGATGGATGACAGATGGACGGACGGACAGACAGACAGATAGATAGATGATATTAATTTATCAATTTTTGAAAATAAAAATAAAGTAGTCTTTCTCACTGACCTATTCAGAAGTTTGAATAAGAACTACAAAACCAGGCCATTTCCTTTGATGCATAATCAAAACAAGCGCCCTATCGAATGACTGTGTACAACAAAAGACATATTCCACGCTTTGAACACCTGTGGGATCTTAATGAGCTTGATTCAGGCCTCACTGAGGCCAAACAACACAAAAGAAGTTGAACAGAAAGGTTGGCAGGGTGCCAGGGATGGCAGCCCTGATGTTATCACTGGAGGCAGTAGCTGGATGATGCTGGATCATCATCCTTTGGGGATAGAAGGGTTGCAAGTGAATTTATAGTCGGGAGTGAAATGGGTGGGTTGTTAAACAGGTCATCTTAGCTGGGTGTGTACCATGTGGTGCACACAGCAGGAGGTCTACGGAGAATACCTAGGAATGAGAGGCCGTGAGCCTGTTTTATCTGGAGACCATGCTGATCTGAGGCTGTCCCTCATCGAGAGCCCGACCCTCCCCATCATGTACTGGACAGGTCTCTTCAGTGGACCATAAGGTCCCTGTCAGCTGTGAGGAATTGAAATACAGAGAATGCCAGGCCAGTGTCTCTCCATAGCTCAAGTGGAACATACCAAATCCCAGAGATGAAGGAAGGCCTGTTTTGATCATATGGGTATCAACACTTTCTCAACTCTCTGTTTCCTAAAATTTACATGTTAATTTTAATGTCAGCTCTGTGTAGCACACAATCCCATCCCATTCAACTAGAAATCAATTTTTTCTTAAATTTTAGTCCAGTAGCACATATGCGCGCACGCACGCTCATACACACACATTTGTATCTCCCACCCCAGAGAGAAAGAGGGGAAGTTTTTTCTATCAAAGTTGCCCTTGACCACAATGAGGTGTCAAATGAAGCCCCCTATTTCACCAAGGCTGACTGCCCACCAACCACCCAATGCCGGAAACACAAGCCAAAGAGCCGCTTCAGGATTACAATAAAGAAGAAGTATATCTGAACCAAGTCTGGGGAGTTCAAAGACTTGTCCAACCCCCAGAAAAATAAGCGACTGAGTGGCGTTCTCGGGTATTAGAAACCTACCTGATGCAATATGATACGGCATGCTTGCAAACACAAAGAAATGGAGTAATTTGCCACATGCCACTGTAAGGACTCTTGCAAGATCCATTTTCAATGCTTATTCAATTTTGGTTTAATCATATTTAGATATCAAAACTAGAAGCATGGTGTAAAGCATGGTTCTCATAAAGACGTGTAGCTGTCTTTATGAGAATGGACAATGGGAATCCCTGAGAACTCAGAGCCGAGGGAACAGAAGCAAAACAAATTTGATAAAGTATATCCCCCATCAGTGTTTTTGCTCTCCAGGGTTTCAGTTACCCACAACCAATCGAGTCCAAATATATCACATGGAAAGTTCCAGAAATAAATAATTCATTACATTTTAAGCAGCTTTTACTATATTATATTATTACAAACTGTTCTATTTTATTAATTGCTATTCTAAATCATTCAATTACGTGCCTGACGTATAAAATAAATTCAATCACAGATTTGTATATGTAGAAACAAATCATAACATACATGGGGCATGGTGTAATCCATGGTTTCAGATATCCACTTAAGTCTTGGAATAGACCTGTCATGAGAAAGGACAGCTAACACATAACCTTCTGAAGTAGCATTCACTTCATAAACAGCTAGCTTAACAGGCTAGATAAAGTCATCACGTCTCTAATACATGCTCTACAGTCGGATTATGCAGTTTGAGTGTGTTCCTGAAGGCTCATGAGCTAGAAGCATGGTGGAAGAACGGACGGGAATTAGGCCATGGTGGGGACAACCATCAGTGTAGTTCTCACGAGACTCTACTTGGGACGGATTGTTGTAAAAGAGAAAAATTAGTCCTTGGATCTCTTTGGGCTCCTGCTCCACCAAGTGATCAATTCTGCATATGGCCTCCATTCCCTTCCTGTTTTTCTACCATGTTGTACATAATACAGTCACCAGTGTTCCTTTATTGAAACTCTAGGCAAAGCACAATTAACTTGTTTTCTCTATAAAAACACAGCCTTGAGTATTTTGATCTAACAATCAGAAAAAGGACTAAGACATAAGGTCAAGAAGTTCCATAAGCCATTGCCTCTTGGGGTGCTACCATAAAATGTATCACATTCAGATATTAAGTCAAAATAGTAGCATTATATAGAGTGGACTACATCCTTAGGTTAAAATCTAAAACAAACATGTTGTGGAAAATATCAAGCTTTCTTGTGGCCATTTGTATATGAAAATGTTACTAAAATTATATTAGTTGTAATGCTAATAAGAAGAAAAAGGCAATAAAACAACCTAGTCTGGCAGTATACAGAGTTATTAATACAACTGTGCGATGCATAGGCCATTTGATTTAACATTCACTATTATAGGTGGGGTCAGATTTATGTCATTCTCCTATAATTCCTCTCTGGTTAAATAATATCACATTAACTACCACAAGTGAGGGGCCATCAGCTAAATCATTACACAGAGAGCATAAACATAAGCAAAGACATAATTCCATTTTAGTCAGAGACATTGGGGGCGGGAGATGTGAAACAAACACACACACACACACACACACACACACACACACACACACACGCACAGAGAGATATTTGAAATGTGTCTTACCTAATATCTGAGAGGTCACATTTGTTCCCAGCAATTGCCATCACAATGTTTTCTGGGCCATGCTCTTTCAGCTCCTTAACCCATTTTTTCAAGGTATGAAATGAATCCTAACCAAAAACAAGATGAGTCACTGAAAAGACCTGTCAATACATTTCAAACAAGTAGACATATGAACCCTGTGTAATTCCATGGGGGAAAAAATGTTTGTAAGGAACACTTAGTTACCATCAGCTAACTTATACTCACCCTATAACAGATACCTCTTTCAAAGTTAAAACTTGAAGAAGTTAAAATTTTTCATTATTAAGTTTTTTCAGTAAGCGCCATTGATTAGAAACAACAGCCTTGACACTGCGGGAACCAGGATATCAAGTGACTACTGATGTTTGCTTCAAGGGAGGAATGCATTTGTTTGGGTCCGGCTCCCGGGCAGAGGCCAAAGTAGACGGTACATGTAGGTGGCAGTGGTCAGAACTCATGGGATACAACAGCAATGAATCAGCTAACCGTCAGCATTCCAGAAGGACTGGGGTCAGGAGGAGCGCCACCAAATCAAAGCATTTGTTTGCTAACGAATGTAACTCAAAATACACTGCAGGAGATACATTCCAGGGTCCTCAGTGGATGCCTCAAACTGTGGCTTGGAACCCAACCCTGGAAACAATGTGTCTCTGTCCCATGAGCGCCTATGGTACATTTTAAGTAAACAATTAGGCAGAGTAAGATACTAACAGTAACAAACTAAAATAGTCAGTAATATAACACATTATTTAAAATGTATGACTTGTTTCTGGAATTTTCCACTTAATGGTTTTAGATGGCCCTTGGCCTTGGATAACTAAGACTACAGAAAATCAAAACACAGATAAATGGGGAACCACTGCCTACAAGCACACACATATTGGCTTTTATATATATAAATACCATCTCTGATCTTTGAATGATGCAACTGAACCAGTGACAGAAAATAACCTAAAATGATAAAATATGCAGAACTTAAAGTTCTCTGGGAAGCGTTAACAGACACGACCTTGCCTCTATGAAAGCTCAGTTTTAGGGAGTGGAGAGATGGTTCAGCAGTTAAAAGCATTTTTTGCTCTTCCAGAGGACCGGAGTTTGGTTCCCAGCATCCACATGATGACTCACAACCATCTGTAACTCCAGTTCCAAAGGATCCAATGCCTCTTCTGACCTCTGTGGGAACCAGGCATACACGTAGTGGCATATATATATATATATATATATATATATATATATATATATATATATATATGCAGGCAAAATAGTCACACATAAAATAAATAGATCTTTACAAAGAAAAAGGTCAGTTTTAAAATGAACGTTTACTGTTTTCGTAATTGGGAAGAGAAATCAAAGCTGCTTGGTCGGGGAAGCAGGCTGGACACATAGCTTTCACTGTCCCTGTCCCTGCCCCCCCCCGCCCCCCCACACACTGTCAAGGCTCCCAAGGTGCTGGCAAGACTCACAAAGTGCCAGTCTGCCTCCGTGTCTCTGGGACAGTCCCCACAGATGGCATCTGAAGTCGGAAGACACTCTTACCTGTTTAGTGATGTCATAGACTATCACCGCTGCGGCCGATCCTCGATAGTACATGGGAGCCAGGGAGTGAAACTGTCCAAAAGCAGTCAACAGTTTTAGGTCACAGCGAGCAAACAGATTTTTAAACATTCCCAAACCACACATTAAAATTTTATGCTGCATCATCCCTGTAGGAGCTCCAAATTCCCCCTAGGACTTCTCTGGAAAGTATATTAAATAATAAATTTTGCTCCCCGACTATACACACACTTGTGGTTTATGGACCATGAAATCTCCTCTTGGCCAGAAGCCAGACACAGAAATTATTTTCAATGTTGACATCCTCTGAATTTTCTTTTCTCTACTGACCTAGGACAATCCTCATTAGAATTATAAAGTGGTAAGGAAAAGATAATACTCCAAGGGGAGGGAAAAATGAAAGGAAAGAAGGCTAGACCCTAGCAGAGCCACTGAGGAGGTGCAGGCCACATGCCCTCAGACTGCCAGCTCTGTCAGGCAAAGCTTTATTGCCTACCAACGTCAGCTAATGGTGTCACATTAGATGGGCTTCATCCCCAAAACCAGAAACCTAAGTATCACTGCTGCTGGACTCTTGCATCCTCAAATAAGATGGATAATTATACTCCAAATGCATACTTCATATGCATAGTTTGAAGGAGGACCTAGTCTTCGTTTGTATCTTTTGATTTGAAAACAGTCTTGGAAAGGGCCAGTAAGTGAAAGAAAGCTCAACATAGAAAAGGAGAAATGATTACATAAGTAACAACTACAAGTTACCAATAAATACTTAAATGTGTTCAATTTACAAAAAGAATGAACTAAAAATGATGAGGTACTTATTAATTCAATAAACATTAAAAAGCCTTAGATTCAGTGTTGGAGTGGACCTGGGGAGGGAGACACCCTCATCTACTATATGGGGATAGTATTTAGCCCCAGGAAGCCACTAGGAACGAAATACCAGAAGCTGAGATGTGCTCGCCCTTCGACCCAGCAGTCTACTTACAGGAAATACAGTCTAGAGTGACCACCGGGCACAGAAAAGACATTTCCCTAGGTTGTGACGGAGGGAAAAATCAAAGGAGAACGTGAAGGTTCATCACTACACTGTGTAACATCCTAGACTAAATTGTCTGTGTGACCCACACAACTCAATTGATGGCAGCCTTGTCGATGTGATGGCCTTTGGGAAGGAAGGTCATCGAAGGCCAGGTGGGAAGTCACTGGGGTCAGATGAGGTCATGAAGGTGGAGTCCCATGATGGGTTTAGAGCCCTCCACACACAGAATGTGAGGAAACAGAAAGAAGGAGGTTGTCTGTGTGCCAGGAAAGGAGCCTCCCTTCACAAGCCAGGGCCTTGATTTACCTCCAGAACCATGATAAGGACAGGTCTGTTCTAAGCCATCCATATGGAATGTTTCACAACCGCTGAAATGAAGAGACCTTGTATTTAAAGGAAAAAGTTCTTTTGACATAGTATTAAGCGAGAAATGTCTGAAGGCAGCAAAGATGATATAATTTAATGTGAGAATGTGGACAGTAATGAATGTACAAATGCTAGAATCACATGACCATCCTCAAAATGTTAGCAGTAGAATTTCCGGTAACATGTACATTTAAAGGGCTGTATAATATAAATCTCACAATAATTTTAAATAAGTTGGTTTTAGGTTAAAATAAATCAGGGCCAGCAGGATGGTTCAGTGGCTAAGGGCACTTGCCACCAAGCCTGAAGACCTGAGTTCAGTCCCAGGAACCTACATAGTAGGTGAGAACTGAATCCTACAAGTTGTCCCCTGGTTTCTATTTATGTGGTGTGGCATGGCCACATGTCCCCTCACCCCAACCCCACACAAAATAATAAAATATTTTAAAAAATTAATTAAAAATCTGCTATTTTTATTGAGGCATGAAGGAGAGAGAGGAAGAAATGGGAAGATGAATCCTGTAATTTTCCTGGCAAACAACAAAACTGGACTCGTTCGGTCTATTTCCCTCTTAGTACTTCTCACTGGAATGCTCAGAAGATCCAGAAGAGGGGCCAGGATGCTGCCTCCCAGTGACTACAAACACGTCTCTCCTTTGAAGGGAGACCACCCTGGAGTTGGGTGGCTTTTAGGAAGGGGGATGAAGGGGGATGGGGTTCAGGGAGAGCCAGGTTTACAGCTGAACTGAGGCGGAGAACCTGCCACTCTCCTCTACCCACAAACACCACTCCAGGTCTCACAGTACAAGATGCCACACATGCCTTTCCACATTCACAGACCTCCCCTGTGTCTGTCTGTCCTAACTGCTAAGCTCCAAGGATTCACGTTCAGCCCACCCTTGGCAATGCAATCCTGGTGTCTCAAAACCAGTCGATATTTCTGTTCATGGGAGGAAAAAGCAATGTCTGTAAACACCGGGCTTTGCTAAGGAAGAGGGTGCATAAAATGTGGCCTTTCAGCTAATCATGCATAATGCCCACCCCTTGCAACCCCGAAACCCCCACAACCCCTCCCCTCTTGTTTTCAAAACAGCCTATGCTAAAGAGTCAGTACAAGCCTGGCTTCCCAGAAGGCAGACACATGACACAGATTTCCCTTTGGGCTCTGACGCCAAAAGCTGCCTCTCAAACAGCCAATAGCATGCGGGTCTCATGAATTATTGAAAGCCCTCAGTACGCAATGCATTATTCCTTTCCCACAAAGGAATCACTCTGAAATAAATCTGTTGGTGAAACCACTTAAAGGGCTTTATTGCTGGAGACTTAGGGGTTTTAATAAATTCAAAGTTAGTGTCTCCTCCCGAAACTCAATAATGCACTGACCAAAGGGTACTATTTGTGAAGGGCAAAGGGATAAATCATTTCAGGCCTACAATATATTTCTTTTATCCTATACAAGCAGAACACAAGCACGTGCACGCATACACACACACACACACACACACACACACACATACACATACACGGTAGCCACTGGCTGCTGTGGTATAATTTACTTTCCAAGAGGTCAGAATTAATATCGATGAGATGACACAAAAGATTCTTCCAGAAATAAAGGTAATTGCAGATGGTTAGTAAAAGCTTTCTTATTAAAACCTCACCGTGAAAGGCTATTTGAAAATCAACACAACAGATGCCAATTCCAACCCTTCACAAGCTCCCCAACAAAATATAGACTTCACATTTCAGTATTCAGGTAACTCCCAGGTACCATTTAATCACTAAGGAGCAGCACTGAAAATTCTGGAAAGCCAGTTTGCCTCTTCAAAGAGATGGTTATCTGTGTTCTTTGGGCATGTGACCTGTTTTTATTTTTATTTTTATTACTTATCTGTGTGTGTATGCACACAAGTATATGCCAATTGGATCCCCCTGGAGCTGGAGTTACAGAGGTGGTGGTGAGCTGCCCAATGCGGGTGCTGGGAGCCAAATTCAGGTCCTCTGAAAGAGCAGTATCCATTTCTAACTGTCAAGCTATCTCAACAGCCCTGACGTTTTGTGGTTGTCTACCTTATAAGAGAGAAAGAAGGGAATGATCTTCAAGCATTTTGAACTTTGTGGACTTTTCAGCTTCTGTGGATGAATGAGGCATTTATTAGCTTTCTATCACTCTAACAAAGTGTCTGAGATAACTTAGAGAAGAGGGTTACTTTGCCTCAGAATCTGAGGGTCCCAGTTCATCATCAATTGGCCCTTTGCTTCAGCTTGTAGTAAGGAGGTATATCACAGAAGGAGCAAGACCACTCACTTCATGAGGGGCCACAGAACCATGGAAGTTACCAGGATTCCACAAACTCCCTTCAAGGGCATGACCCCAATGCCATAAAGACCTCTCACAAGGCCCTGCCTCCTACAGGTCCCCCACCTTCCAATAGCACCACACTGAGGATCGAACATTTAACACACGGACCTTTGAGAGTCGAGCTACAGGGAGGTATGATCTTTCTGGAAAGCAACTAGACACTGTGTCCCTCAAGTCTTACAACTGTCCAGACTCTTTGATATGATCTCACCTATTAAGGTAACAATAACGATCATCACAAAACTGCCAGAATTTAGTCTCAAAGTCTACTCACGAGGGGACGGAAACCTAGATTTTGGTTTAGTCCTAACTGAGATTCTGGACTATAACTAAACTCAAAGTTTTGAAAAACAGCAAGTGGTACAAGAAGTGCGTGGGTGTGTTCTGAAGGTCTTGTGAAGAACAAATAGCCCCATGATGCCGTTTGGAGAAAAAAGGTTTCCTGATAAAATTAGTTGGAGCAACACTACACATACTGTTTGCTCAGAGGATAACACAGGATTATCAGTACACCAACAGTTGGAAATATTTCTAGAGGTAGGAAATAGGTATATTTTGGTTTCAACTCAACAATTTCTATTCTTTTTTAACCTCTTTCTACATAATATTTGCTAACTTAGAGGAACCTAGCCTTATCACAGAGGACCTCAGAACAATGTGAAGAGAACGAGACTCAGAAAGGCCTGAGGCCTGGCCTGCTTGGATCTTGGTTTTTATATTTTATAAAATGGGGATGGGAAAAAGGTCTTGGAAATGGCAGCTGGAAGTTTCTCTAACTCTGAAACTCACAACAGACTCTGGACATCATCTCTGATTATCCTTGTAAGAAGTAGAATTGTTGACTCAAAGTACACGGACATTTTTGGGGTCTCTGTATAGACTACACACACACACTCCTCTCTCTCTCCTCTCTCCCTCCCCTCCCCCTTCCCAACCTCTACAATACAGTACATGTATTATCCCAGGAAATTCTTCAGGAAAATTCTTTAATCATATGTGGCGACATCATCAATTTCACAGTAGCAAAACTGCATGTCTGGAGGGTGCACTATACTGAAAGACACAAAGTCTCCAGACAGACATGCTCCCCAGATGAGAATTACCCACGCCAGACACCCTGGCTTCAGGTCCTGGGTCATGCAGGATGGATTCTGCGGCACGATTTTCAGAAAACGATCTGTCCCTGGAGAGTCAGGGGCAGCCGGGGACAATGCCAGTCTGTGGCCAGGCTGCAGATCGGCCTCAGGTGCCAGCTCCCAATTAGAAGCTCCAGCCCTCCCCAGG